AAACAACCCAGAAATTTTAATTATGGTTATTTGTTGTTGTAACTTGATATTTTTCTTGTTTTCATGTTATAAAGTATGCAATTAGATTAGTTAAATTCTACCTTTTTGCGTTTGGTTTTAAATTGTGCTGTTTTGTTTTGAAATTTTCTATTGTTTTGGCTACCTTTTTGTTGCTACATTTTTGCTTGAATGCTGTCCATTTCTTCCTAGTTTTGACTTGTATTCTACATTGTTTTGTTTCTGTTTTTGCCCAGAAAATTCCTGTTGTTTAGGGCTTTTTCTAAGCAATTTGGGACTATTTTAAATGGTAGAAATCGCCACCTTGTTGCCTAGAATTTCTACTGGCATCTAGGATAGTTTTGAGTTTAGTTTCTCACCCCTTCTACACTTTATCTTGCCCAAATTTTTTTTTTTGAAATACCTAATATTTTATGTGATATTTGGAGTTGTTTTAAGTATATTCTAAGTATGATTAAACATATTAATATATGAGTAAGGTTTCAAAGGGTATAGGTGATCGAGAGGTGTAGGAGGAAATTGTTTCTTCGGTTAGGAACTTGATTTTGAAGTTAGGAACCAAATTAGTTAAATGGAATATGTTGTAATCTTACTTATTCATTTGATGTGGTATAGGTTGTAAATCACCTTTGCCGCCTCGAGATCTTGAATACTTGCTTGTTTATACCTATAAGGTGAGGTAAGTAAAACTATAGTAAATGCTCTTGGATTTTGAGGTAATGGTTTTAAAAGTATATTTTGAATTATTTTTGAGATGGTGGTGGGACCTAACTCAACTTTCATTAGCACATGAACATGATTGGTTTGAAATGAAGTTGTTATTATTTTCTTGAGTTAAGCATGCCTACATGGAATTACTTGATTGTCTTGATGATCTAAAATTGGTTTGTAAATTATGAATTTTCCAGTTAACTCCTGCATGGTTTTGTCTCCAATATGGTCATGAATTCTATTATCCTACCAGTAGGAGTTATAAACACTAACACATGTTGACATATATATCCGTAGGATCAGTTCATTCTGTATTTCTGTTATCCTGCCAGTGGAAGAGTACATTGGAATCTTGCTAGTGGGATAGTACATTGGTAAGTCTGTTATCCTGCCACTGGGAAAGTACATTAGTATCTTGTTAGTGGGATAGTACATTGGTATTTTTGTTATCCAGCCAATTGGAAAAGTACACTAGCTATGACTAGTTGAGGAGACCACTAAGTAAATTTCATTATGCATAAATGATTTACAACAGAGATTTTCTTCTTATTTAAAATTAAAATGTTTATCTAGCATGCTTTAAATTTCAATGAGGTTATCCATATTTTTACTTACTAAGTTATCTCACATAGTTTTTTCTCATCCACCATTTCAGATAATGAGACCAAGGACGTGGGAAACCAAAGGCGTGACGAGTTAGAAGGCTAGCCATTTGTATTTTGGAGTTTAGATTTATTTGGAGTTAGGCAACTAGTCAAATATATTTTTTTGGACATAGAAATTACAAGATAGATAATTCTTTTGTAGACTAGATCCCCTTAGAGATAGTCATGACCTATTTGATGGAGTTGTATAATTTTTGTGCACTTTTGACCCAGTCAAACTTTGGTTATTGAAAGTTAGATTTTAGTTGAGATTTTAGATCTAAGTTTATGTGGCTTTCTAGTTCTCAATTAAGCAGGTTTTAAGCCTTATGCATTTGTGGAAGTCTGTCACAAGTGTATAGCATCTATTTCGCTCTCGATTCTAGGCCATAACAGATTTTGTGGTACATAGCCTAGGCTTAACTAGAAGCTTAGGACTAGTTTAAAACTTGGCTAGCAAATGAACTATAGGAACGTGGTGAGACGTGAGAGTGGGGTGAATCAGGGATGCTTGTTTATTCTTGCTTTGATGGGACTCTTGACTTGTCTAAATTTTCCTTACTCTTGGATCATGATGTTTCTCATATGCATAAAAATTTTGATTGTTATTATTGGGACTTGTTACTCGATTTTGACTTATGGATGATGTGGTCTTTAAGTTCAATTCAGTGTTATGATGAGTTAGAATAATTGTTCTTGAATATTGGGTTGAAAGTTCCGGTCTCTTGAGTGTGTATTGGATTTGTTGATGATTGTGTTACTTAGTTTCAAAAATGGAGAACTGCCTTGTATTTTCTCATTTGAGATACTAGATTAACTGTCTATGAACCTTCTATATGTCTGTAGATGGCTCCAAAACACAGTAGGGGTGTGAGGGGTGGCTGTGAAGATGATAGCACTTCTCTAATTCCAGCTGCTAGTCCTTTTACCCAAGCTGGTCCTCAAGAAGGAAGGGCAAATGGTCCTTAGGAAGGAGGGGCAAATAACCTTCAGATGATCACATTTGTTTAGGAATTTATGGCGAAGATTAAACGCCAAGCATCTTCTACCACTAGCGTGCCACTTCCATCCTCGGTGATTTCCACTCCTACAACTCTTGCTCCTATTCCTCTACTCTTATTGTACCTAGCTAAAAGATCTATATAGAATTCCAAAAGGTGGTAAATAAGAGATTTGATGGTAAGGTGGGTTTTGAGCAGGTTGAGTCATGGATTATCGAAGTGGAAAGGGGATTCCGGCTACTAAAGATTTCTAATGACCCTAAGGTCGATGTGGGTAGTTACATGCTTACGGGTGAAGCATTAATTTGGTGAGAAAATTACTTAAGGTTACACCATGGAGAACTTGAGTTGAGGAGCTAGGATAGTTTTAAAAAGGTGTTCATGCAGGAATACATACCTGATAGCAAAAGGCATGAGTTGTAAAGGGAATTCGTTGACCTGATTACCCATAAAGGGCAGATAACAGTCAAACTTCTTCTTGTACTACTCAACAATACATGACCCATGCTTTAAATCAGCAAATTCCCTTTGCAACTCACGCCTTTTGCTATCAGGTATGTATTCCTGCATGAACACCTTATTAAAACCATCTCAGGTCCTCAATTCAGGTTCTCCATGGTGTAACCTTAAGTAATTTACCCACCAAGTTAATGTTTCACCCATAAGCATGTAACTACTAACATCAACCTTAAGGTCATCAGAAACCTTCAGTAGGCGGAATCCCTTTTCCACCTCAATAATCCATGACTTTTGTAACAACCTTTGTAAGGACTCAAAGAAAACCTAGTTAGTTTCAATCATATACATAATTGCTTTTTTATTTTTATCTTTGAATTATATAATAAGAGATAACTGTATAACTTTTATCTCTTAACTTATCCCATCCACAAATCATATCATTCAAACTCAAAATCTCATATTTAAAAAAGATTACTATTACTATTCAGTTACTTAAATAGAATTAGCATCACATAGACAACTGTTAAATGGTATTTACAAAATGTCGTCAAAGAATAAATGGAATCAAATTCAAAGTCGGCACGAGGAAATTAAGAGCACAAATTAGCTAATCATGGATTTCATATTGGATGTGTACCAATTTATGGAAAAACGGGTGAGTGCAAAACTTCCAAAAAAAAAAAATCACGGGGACAGGCAACCTAGAGCAGTCGCTCCCCTATTCCCCTTCCCCTTTCCTTCTCCATTCTTCCAATATTTCTTTCTTTCTTTTTTTTTTTTTTATCAAGATACTCACCTCAAGATTGGATTATGTGAGAATTCATCCTTTCAATTAGTTGAGACCCATTTTCCCATCTTTTTTGGGTTTTAATAGCACTAGATTTCCTCTCTAGTGGTAAAGGTATGGCGTAGGAAGAGATGGAATGTAACAAAGTGTCGAGAGGCAAAAAAGGAAACTAGGTTGGACAAGATGAGTTCAAAATTTGCTATTTGTTTCTTTTTCTTATGTTTTATTCGTGTCTAAGCTACTTTGTACTAAATGAACGTATTTATCGCAGCAGAGGATAAATATTAAGTGATTAGATGTACATTATATTCTATCCGTTTTGATTAATGAATCACCATTTTTGCTTAAAGAAAAACTTTTCAAGGTACATTCTATTCAATGAATTAGCTCAAGTATCTACCAAGAAAGTTAGGTCAATAATCTTAATCAAAAAGCTCCAAAAAAAAAAAAAATGATTTGAGGATCAATTCAAGTTTTAGACACTTGGTATTGTGATTCATGTGCCTAAAGTTGACAGAGATAAGAAGTTGAAGAGAAATTAGC